GTGGCGTGCGGGCCGGGGCTCGCCCCGCCGGTGCTGTTCAGCCCAGCAGCAGCAGCAGCGCTCCGTGGAAGATCGGCCGGCAACAATCACCCGGCACTAGCCCGCTGGGGTAACCGGCTCGTTATGGCACACATCGTGCCAGACCTTGCAGCAGCCGCCTTCACATCTCCTGCCCCAGCAGCAATCACGGAATCACAGAATGGTTTGGGTTGGAAGGGACCTTAAAGATCATCCAGTTCCAACCCCCCTGCCATGGGCAGGGACACCTTCCACTAGACCAGGTTGCTCAAAGCCTCATCCAGCCTGGCCTTGAACACTTCCAGGGATGGGGCATCCACAGCTTCTCTGGGCAACCTGTCCCAGTGCCTCAGCACCCTCAATCCTCTAAACGTACTGGTTTCGTCCTCAAAGACCTGCACTGCATCCCCACAACATGCAGAAACACAAAATAATGTTGTCTCCATCCACGGAGATAGATCCTGAGCAACCTGCTCTGGGGAACCTGCTTAGCTGGGGTTGGGTAAGGCCCACTCCAGCACTCCCCTCCAGCCCCCACTGTTCCGTGAGCCCAGAGTAAATAAACCAACAGCCAGCTGAACACCATGCAAGGACGGAGGTGCTACTGAAGAAGAAACAGTCCCACCTTAAACGTTTTTTTTCCTAAAGAGTTTTATCCAGAATGTCTTAACCACTATTTCTCAGATTCTTACAAGTGTTACCAGACCCCTTTAAGGTCTAGTATTCGGTGTATAAGCACTACTGGTTATGGATTCTGGATAATGTTTACCTGCAAGGCCCGCAGCATTTAAGGGTGAGCTGGTCTAATGCTGATCTTGTCCACACTTGGTTTTAGAAGGACATATAAACCCAGCCAGAAGGTCAATGCCTATCCACTGAATCTCACGGCTGCGAGATGGTGACACCCTCCTGAAGCCTCAGTTCCCTGGAAAGAATGACTGGAGCAGCCAACATGCCCCATGGGTCCTCCAGCCGCTGTTGAGGCCTGCTGGGAAGTACTATTTGCTTCCCCATCCTTTACAAGATTAAGGCTGGCTGACTTTCCTTTCAGCTTGCTTTTGCCCTGAATTTCCAGAATAAGAATAATGAACACTGCTATCAAATTAACATAAAAAACTCTTCCCTACTGGATTTGCTATAACCTATTAGATCCAGGTAGTAAAGTTACTGAAATTTAGTACTACACTCATGCTATGGCTTACCCACCATTATCTGCACTTTTTTCCAAAGCTGCTGCTTCAAAACCATACAGATTTCCATGCATCAAGACCCACATGTTTAGCTGGAGATGGACCATAGGCAGATCAGATGCCACCTCTTCAGCACGCTGTCACACTGTTCTGGCTCAATCAGGGATCTCATCAGGGATGACGGGGGGCTTTCCTTCAAGCCAAACTTGTAAAATAAGCAGGTAGATGGGTAACTGTGTGCATATAAACAAAAGTAGCAGAAGGGAGAGTCTAACTGGTGCGCTACCTCAACCCTAGATGAGCTTCACTGTGCAGTTTTGGATGAGAAAACACAGATGAAAACCACTCATCTGCTAACTAGCAGCTAGACAGTTTCCTCGTTCTATCGCCGTTCACGTGATTGAGAGGTCAGAGCTCACACGTTGCCTCAGTCAAGATACCATAACACACAAGAACGGAAGGAAGCTTCGGTGGCTCTGCCCTTCTGTACAGCAGTTAACAAATAAAACCCAAAAATTCAGTGACTTCAGACCTAAGTCCTACTACCCAATGGTATGAAGGGACCTTACAGAGAAGCTGGTAAAGACAACATACTAAACCTGTTTGCTCTTCCAGTACAGACGCACAGAAAACCAAACTACGTTGATTAGTACTCTCCAATTCAAGTGCACATTAGCCACTCCATTAATCTCATCGACCGGAAAAAACACAAAGTCAAACACTTGACACCCGGAAGACCTGGAGAAGCTAATCTTATTCTAGTCCCATTTCAGATAAAACGGCCAATTATTACCTTTGAGACAACACTGAAGAGGAACTAACAACGCTAATGAGAACCAGTATGCATAAAAAAATTACTTAATGGAAACGGGAAGGCAGAAACAAGGAGCTTGGACATGAAGCAGCTAGAGACAACAGTAAAAATTCATTGTTCAAGTTTTCTTGTGACCTGGGTTTTTAGTTCGTCCATGCAACCTTGCAATAGTAAGTATAAAGAAATCTAGAGAGGCTGTAACTGCTGATAGCCCAGGTGAGTGTTCCAAGCCCATCGCAGAGAGGTTACTGCTAGTGCCAGAACGCCACAGCCTAAGAACGGACATCTCCGTGTCAGGGCACTGACCTCTTACCAAACCAACACACCCCAAAGTCACCTCACCCCCAAATACTCTGGGCTGTTAGTATATACCTCTGTACAAAAAAATTAATTTATTTCTCTAAGAGGAAAATACAGAACACAAGATAAATATTTAATATTACTCCTTCAGAAGTCTGTCTTTACGGTGAATTCAGAAGTCTGGCAGGCTGCTAAAAACACTGACCCTTCAGTAAGATGGAGAAAAAGCAAACACTCAACATTGTCCACTAAGTATCGATTTGACTGCAAAACAGACGCTATGAAAGAAAAGGTGGTGTTTTTCTCCCCAGAAGTTGGTGTATGTTTAACACTTCAGGCCAGAAAGAAGTACAGTTCAAAAGTTCAACTCTGAAACAATTACAGCAGTTCAAGATGTCACTGTGATCTTCGTCCTTTTCCTCCCACTGCAACGGTCTCTAGTCCCAGTTCGTCAGGACTTTTGTTTACTAGCACCTTCTCTTGCTAGTCTATCAGCTTCTTCGTTTCCTTGGAAGCCAGCATGACCGGGAACATGCATCTGTTAGGACAAAAGTACAGGAAGGTGACATATGCAAGAAATCAAGAAAAAAGTGTGTACATGAAATTTGATCATGCACCACCCTTTCATTCCGTAGCACCTCCTTAGAGGCCCTCTCCTCACACTTAGTCCTTACTACTTCTTCCCAGGGACGTTTAAAGTCTCCCTCCCTGTAGGAAAGTCTTCACGAACTGTGAAAATCATGTTCATGAGAGGGAGCAAACCGGGTAAGGACCACCTAACCAAGCCAGTGAGAAATGCAGAGAACACCTCTAACTCAAAACTCTCAGGGACAGAGAAAAAAACCTCTCCGCATTCAGTGTTTAAACCAAGTTAACCTCTTCCCAGAAAGCCAGCAACCTCCACGCCATCAACAGCCATGGTGGTTCCAGCACTCACTTAGGACAGAGAAGCCAGGTCGGAAAACAATCGCTTCAGTTTCACTGTCCTTCCTTCACTAACGAGGAGCTGAAAATGCTTTCAACCCTAATCCCCATCTTGGCAGAAGTGAGGGTGGAGGAGCGTGGGGGAGGAAGGAGAGGAAGAAAGTTAAGCTTGCCATTTGACATGATCTGAGAGGGGCCAAGAATGAAGCATGTGCAAGGTGGATTAGGCTTACACCGCAGCACTGGGGGGGAGCGCTGCAGGAGTGGCTTCTGTGAGAAGACAGTAGAGCCTGCCCCCCTATCGGAGAGTACCAGAAAAACACATTTTACCAGGAATACCTGCATAGTAGCTGCTTTACTTCTTTACTGTACAGATAAACAATTTAAGACTTAAAAATGGGTACTTTAAAGACCTTCCTATGCCCAGTTTTCTTGGAAAAAACCAGACTGTTAAGGTACAGAGAACTAGAAGTCAGTTTATTTGGAGTTATACTCTTAGTTTTCCCACTTTAGAGACACTCATGAGTTACATCAATAAACCAGCATCTTAGCAGTTCTGAAAAGCAAATCCAGAAATTGAGCTATGACTCAAAGAGACGCAGTTATGTTTTAAGCTCAGATTTCCAGGAACAGAAGTTTCATGCAACAGTACCGACAAACTAATTGCAAGCATTTCCAAAGTAGTAACAAGACAGCACATAGGTCAGTGAAATACTGGTTCCAAGAGCCTAGGTTATGTTGCTTATTTGCTTTAAATAAAGCAAGCAGTTTCACTGTATTTATGGTCTCACTTCTGAACATGCAATCCTCAGTTATGGTCATACCTGTAAGTTTTTACCAGAAGCGTGTTTAAGATGTCATTAAGAATAAGAAACAAGGTGCTTACCCACTGAATTTCTATGCCTTTTGTGAGATTATCAAGTCTTTCAAAATCTTCTTTATTTATTACACTTCCTCCTGAACTTGTTCTCCAGCCGTTTGTTTTCCAGTTGTCAACCCAGCTTGTAATACCTGTGGCAAAGGCAGCATTACCATAAAAATGCTATGAAAGAAGCCAGCAAGGATCTAGATGGAGCAAAGAGCCTTTTAGCAAGGCATTAAGTCCATTCAAAGTCTCGGGCAAAGACACTGGAGATGAAAAAAAAAAAAGATACACTTGTTTGGTTCTCTACCACTGTCTTTCAGGACTGTATTTGTCCATTATTACCTGAATCGCCCAGCCATGTTTTGCTGAACAAATATTTAAAGACTACAAAAAAGCCCAATTCTTGTAGCCTTTCATCATAGGAGAGGTGCTCCAGCCTCTGAGCATCTTCGTGGCCTCCTCTGGACTCGCTCCAAGTGGTCAATATCCTTCTGATATTGGGGGTTCCACTCCTGGATGCAGCACTCCAGGTGGGGTCTCCCCAGAGCAGAGTACAGGGGCAGAATCCCCTCCCCCGACCTGCTGGCCACACTTCTCTGGATACAGCTCAGGATACGGTTGGCTTTCCGGGCTGCCAGCGCACACTGCCGGCTCATGTTCAATTTTTCTTCCACCAAATCATAGAATCACAGAATGGTTTGGGTTGGAAGGGACCTTAAAGCCCATCTAGTCCCAACCTCCCTGCCATGGGCAGGGACACCTTGCACTAGACCAGGTTGCTCCAAGCCACATCCAGCCTGGCCTTGAAGACATCCAGGGATGGGGCATCCCTGGCTTCTCTTGCGTAACAACGGTTTCACAAATGAGATGGTAGAGGCTTTTCTTCCACAAAGCAAAGAACTGCAAAGGTTTTTTTTTTCCTCTTTAATATTTTGAACAACTTGCTTCTTACAATGAATTATGCACTTGGATTCTACTGATCAGCATGCACCACCCAGTCCTGAAGAGTAGAGACTCTTCCTTCTACTCTTCCCTTTTTCAGAATGCTTCTGGCAGAGACTAAAGACTCACCAACCAGAAGGGGCAAAAAACCCTCAAAACCAACACACATCCTACTCCTGTAGGAAATGCTATACCTAAATCTTTTGGGGAAAGTAAGCTACTCAAATGAGAGATTTAGGAGATAAACCCTAGGGAGATGCAATGGGAAATTTGCTTCTTCATTTGTACTGTCCCTTCTTCAACCTACAAACTAGAATCAGAAAGACAGAGCACAAGCCCTTGACACATCACACTTCTGCGCTGAACCTCTTTCATGCACATGGAAGCTAAAAGAATCTGGAACAAGCAGCAAGTGACAGCTCCAGCAACTCCATCCTTGACTAGCAGTCACTTGTTCCTACTAGGCAACCTTCTGTCCTTCCTCGGGTACTGCAACTTAAGGTGACATTGGAGTTTTCCTAGGTTAAGTTTTCTTTTACTTCTAAACATGAGTCACCTGAAAAAAGATGACTGATGCTCTTCCTTCATACTTCCCTAGTTTTAGGAAACTGAAGCATTTGGGCTTAGTTGGAGGAAAATATATACAGATTTTAACATACAAACCATTTATTTGCTTTATTAATAACAAGCAATGAAACAATTACTTTCAGTGTTAGCACTCAAGTATAGAAAGTTATCCTAAGAGCAAGATACTCACACCTCCGTCAACCACCCCCCAAAAATAACTGGTGTGAAAGAGCAGCATTTAATTTTCAATCAGAAGTTCCACTAATTTTTTGTTTAATGTTAATTTAAAAAAAAAAAAACCTCTAAGTGATCTTTGAGCTAACATGTACTCCTTTTATAAAACAGACATAAAGAAGAAATACTTATGCAGTTCAGAATTATCAAAGGAGCAATATCTGAAGATCTGGGGAAAGTGCAAGAAGGATTCAGAAGTTAAGTCTTCGTGGCTGCTTCATGTGTTATTTGTAGGAAATAAAACATTTTCCAAAACTCTGGATGAAGGCGAAACCTTAAATCCACACTCTGAGCATGTCTCTGCCTACTCTTCCAGTGCAGCCTGAAAGTCGGGTAGGGTACATGTAGAAAGTAAGAAAACTTGAATATACTCCATGTCTGCGTATTGAGACAGACGCTCCAAACTGAAGAGAACACTACAGGGTCACTACACCAACTTCTGAGTACTTCCTTGACAGAGCACACATGAGCAGCAAGTTTGGTTGAGTGTCAGGTCCTGCACTTGGGCCACAACCCCCTGCAATGCTACAGGCCTGGGGATGAGTGGCTGGAAAGCTGCCCGGTGGAAAAGGACCTGGGAGTGTTGGTCAACAGCAGCTGAATGTGAGCCTGCAGTGTGCCCAGGTGGGCAAGAAGGCCAACGGCATCCTGGCCTGTATCAGGAACAGAGTGGCCAGCAGGACTAGAGCAGGGCTTGTCCCCCTGTACTGGGCACTGGTGAGGCTGCATCTCAAATCCTGTGTTCAGTTTTGGGCCCCTCATTACAAGAAAGACATTGAGGTGCTGGAGTGTGTCCAGAGAAGGGCAACGGAGCTGGGGAAGGGTCTGGAGCACAAGTCCTGTGAGAAGCAGCTGAGGGAACTGGGGTTGTTTAGTCTGGAGAAAAAGAGGCTCAGGGGAGACCTTATTGCTCTCTACAACTGCCTGAAAGGAGGTTGCAGAGAGGTGGGGGTTGGTCTCTTCTCCCAAGTGACAAGTGATAGGACAAGAGGAAATGGACTCCAGTTCTGCCATTTAGACTGAGTATTAGAAAAAATTTCTTCACCGAAAGGGTTGTCAGGCACTGGAACAGGCTGCCCAGGTTGAGTCACTATTCCTGGAGGTATTTAAAAGACATACAGATGTGGCCCTTGGGGACATGGTTTAGTGGTGGACTTTGCATGCTAGGTTAACGGTTGGACTTGATGACCTAAAAGGCCTTTTCCAACCTTAACAATTGTATGATTATACTTTTTTTTGAGAGAGACTTTGTGTCATACTGAATACCTTAACACAAAAATTCTTTAGTTACTTCTGTCATTCTTTAACAGGCACTTTGTCTATACTTTTATTTTGCAACTGATCCCTGCAATATTCTGAAGTTCCTCCCCAAGCAGTCATGAGTATTGAAATTATGCATTCTCTCCCTTACATCCCCTCTCCTAAGGCCACAGTATAATCTGAATAAAACCATGTGCAGTGTGACTTTAAGACTCAGGAAAACTAAAATCATTAACTTACCGTTAATAGTGAACTTGCTGTCAGTGTAGATGATCAGTTTCTTGATGTTTTGACTCTTTGCTTGTTCTATCGCTTTGCAGGCCGCCTTAAGGACATTGCAATAGAATCACAGTTCAGAACAGGATTTTGAACATGTGCAATTAAATTACCACAATACCTGACGCTAACACAGAACTACAAAGACTACTACTGTAATCCCTTAGAACAGATGTTCCCAAAATTATGCACGCAAGTGACCACTCAATGCACCAGGTACTTACGTTTCACCACCAAAAAAACCTCACAAACATTCTGATGCTCACCCTGTATGGCAGGACAATTTCTCTGCCCGATTTCCTATCAATTGCACATTAAGTTTTAGGCTTTTTCTCCATAATTTTGCTAAGCAAAGACTCATACCAGTTCCAACAACCTGGACCCTGGTGGTTGGGGTTTTTTGGTGCTATGAAATACAGTAAGAGGGAAAAGTGGCTGGGTCTGGATATAGCACTGAAAAGCTCTCTCGCTAGTGAGAAGTTTGGCCCCTGGCATCCCACCATCACCTCTGCTTGTCTCTCGATAAAATGAACCTCCCACGCTTTTTAAGCAGATCAATTCCCCATTTCAGTTTATCTCCAAACACACAGTGCAGGATAGCAGCAGGACCAGAATTAGGATGAGGTGAGAAGGGTGGATGAAACCTGCTGTTGCCAACAGAAGTTTACCTCAGACATAACAGAGAGGTAAACTATCCCTGCGAGCCTAGAACTGTTCGTTGTATTTCTCTAAGGAATATGATACTCTGATCCTACCACAGTAAGAAGTTGATTCTCCTCTTAGATGCTACTCGGCAGCCCTCACCTCAGGGTCTGAGGCATACACATTAAGGATACAAAGGATACTCCACACGTTTAGGCCTTCACAGTGCAAGACTTTTTTAAATATCTGTGCTTGGCCTGATGATATTTGGGAATTCTCAAGGTGAATTACCCTTTGTGCAAAAGCAATAAATATCAGTAGAACTTGAAGAGATTGATTTCTTTCAAGTCGTATCTCCTGGTATTTTGTGTACTTCCCTCACAGCTCCCTAACTGGTTTCTGAAGGCCAGAGTTGAAAGAGTCATGAGTGTGCTACTGCGGTCGAACACGCAGAAGCGTTTTAGGCCATTTACTACTTACATGTATTTCAGCTCTTTGATTAGTCTGCCGTCCAGGAAGTCTTTCACTGGTATTTCTGTGTCCAAGAAAAGAACGGTAGATTAGTTGCCGAAAATACTCAGTGGTGTACAATGAATACATACGAGAAAAATGAGTCCAAGAACACTAATTTTGTTTTTATAAAGGAGGATGACTGGAGATTCTACCTCTAACTTCCATCTGCATAGTGCAACCTCCATATATGGACCTGCCAACAAAACGCAGTTTCCTTCTTTGTCTTCTGTGCAAACCTATAACTATTTTAAAACTTTCTGAATCACTTGAATTATAGCTTCAGCCCCTGAAAGTATTACTTCCAGTTGATTTCCCCCGAAGTCTTACCTCCTAGTGAACCTGATTTCCCTTTTCCCCTCAGGAACTCGCTAGTCTCACAGCAGTGTCATTAAGAGTCTCAATAATAGGGTTTCACATTCAAAAGAAGACTGATATTGGAAATTACACATAAAGCAAAGATTATTATGTATTAAAAAAAAATAAATCCACCCAGCTACTTACAAAGGGTGGCCTGGTCCCCAGTAGACACCTATTCCAGCACGTGCCCTGTTACGTCCATTTCCTGAGCAACAACCATCTGTATAAACGACTGCAAAGTCGCCTACAAAAGAAATACCAAAAGCAGAAGGTTCAAGCACTCCTTCAAGGACCTAGTCTCTTCAAGCAGACAGAAATGCCTGCCAGCAGATTAACATCCCAAACTTCCGTCCCCAGAGCGCCCTTCAAAATGTTAACTACAGAAGGCACATTAGTCATGCAGAACACCAGAAGCCCCACTGTAGCTTCACACCCTCACTTCTCCCAAATCAATCAGCCTCAAGAAGCATCTCTGCCCCATGTTCCATATTCCCACTATAGTTCCTGCCTTCTTCAGTCAACTTTAAATCCTCCCAGCTACATCTGTATTTAAATAGTCTGTAATCTAGACACACATAAAATCTCACCTAGAATAACCAGATTAAGCGATACGTTGATACCAGTTAAAGCCAATTAATGTTACACTGAAAGGCAAAGTGAACAAATACATCACGGCTCACATTTCCATTTTAAAAAGGACCAACCTCATGCTGGGCCTTGTACTGCCATACATAACTGTCCCTAAAAGCTCTCTCACGACTACACTGGTTATTTATCAAAGAGCACAAAGAACCCAAAAGAATTACAAGAATAACAAATGAGCTTACCCATATATGAAAATTCATCTTCACTGACTGTTGGCACTGGGTGTACTTCATCATGTTTTACACGCTTGGCAGAGTGTTCCTCGTTTGTAGACTGTTCATACGGCCTTTTGCACGTATTACAACACAAGACGTTTATTTCTGGTTCCTCTCTCTGGTTAATATTTTCCTGCGTTACAGCTGGAGGACCCTGTGCCCCTTCCAAAAAAAAAACCAAACCCAAAAGGGAAGAGCAAATGTTCAGCTGTCTACAAGATCAAGTTTTATTTGAAACGGCTGCTTCCAAAGACAGCAGTTGTTATCACCCATTAGCAACACTAATCTGTCAAACCGACACCACCCCAACCTATTATGCAAAAAGTACTATGGTGTACACCAGCCATTCTTGATCCCTCATCAAACGCAAGTGGAGACACACATGTAACGGCCCTTAAAGCGGACTCAGCACAAGCACTGTTCTCCAAACACGTCCGGACACCGCCCCGTATACCCAGATGTGCCGGGGCACCGCTGCACCTACCACCACGGCATTCCGCCGGTTACAAAACGTCCACCGGACAAACGTAAGCTGCAGCCTACATTA